TACAGTTCCCACTATAGTCTGAACTATTGTCTAGTCTATAGTCTGATATATAAACTGATTTACTTTATAGTCTAAAGTATGTCTATAATCTGAACTATTGTATACATATTCTGGGGCTGTAGTCTATATCCTGAACTGTAGTTTGAACTATTGTCTACTATACTGTGTGGACCAATGTATAGCCTACAGTGCGATCTATAATCTTTACTAAAATCTGGTTTAAAGTCTGAACTATTATCTAATCAGTAATCTGGACTATATTCTAGTCTTATAGTCGTGACGATAGTCATTATTCTGAACCATAGTTTGTGCAGTTGTCTAGTCAGCTTATAGATCTTATAGATTGATCAGTTTATAGTCCAGCCCATAGATCAGTCTATAGTCCAACCTATGAATCAGTCTATCGTTTACACTATAGATTAGGCTATAGTCTAGCCTGTAGATCAGTTTATAGTTTAGCCTAAGATAAGTCCATAGTCTAGTCTATAGGCCAGTTTACAGTCTAGCCTACAGATCAGTTTTTAGTCTAGCTTACAGATCATTCTATATTCTAGCCTATAGATCAGTCTATAGTCTAGCCTAGAGATCAGTGTATATTCTAACCTTTAGATCAGTTTATAGTCTAGTCTATAGATCAGTCTGTAGTCTAGTTTACCGATCAGTCTATAGACTAGTCTATAGATCTATCCTACAGATCATTCTATAGTCTAGCCTATAGATCAGTCTGTAGTCTAGCCTATAGATCAGTCTATAATCTAGCCTAGAGATTAGTCTTTAGATCAGTCTGTAGTCTAACCTATAGATCAGTCTATAATATAACCTGTAGATCAGTCTACAGCCTGTAGATCAGTCTATAGCCTTACCTATAGAATAGTCTATAGTATAGCTTAAAGATCTGTATATAGTCTAGCCTATAGATCAGTTTACACTACAGTCTATAGTCTAGCCTAAAGATAAGTACATAGTCTAGTCTATAGATCAGTCTACAGTCTAGCCTATAGATCAGTCTATAGGCTAGACTGTATAGTCTTTAGTCTAGCGTACAGATCATTCTATAGTCTAGCCTATAATCATTCTGTAATCTAGCCTATAATCATTCTGTAATCTAGCCTATAGATCAGTCTATAGTCTAGCTTAGAGACAGTGTATATTCTAGCCTTTAGATAAGTTACAGATAATGTTACAGTCTAGCCTATAGATTAGCCTATAGATCAGTCTTTAGTCTAGCTTACAGAACATTCTATAGTCTAGCCTATAATTATTCTGTAATCAAGCCTACAGATCAGTCTATAGTCTAGCCTAAAGATCTGTCTATAGTCTAGCCTATAGATCAGTCTTTAGTTTAGCTTATAGATCAGTCAATCCTAGTCCTTCATGCTTTCTGTACAGCAAATTTAACAAATTTTCAATTCTAACCTTAAACTTTATTATTTAACTTATGCAAAATTTCCCCATTTAAACTATTAAAAAGTAATTTAAATTCCTGCCATAATTTTCAACATCAACTGTATAAATATGAAAAAAAAATAACAACACAAATCAATAACAAACAGCTGGATTTATGGGATTCCTTAGATTCTACTACGTGATTTTTATTTTTCAATTTAATTACAATATAAAAACATTTTTAACGATTAACTCATCTTTTTTTTCTGATATAAAACAAAAATATGTGTAGAAAATTAGTTTTAAATAATTATTACTCATTTTACACAACAGAGCTACAGAGTAAAGTAAAGAATTTTGAAAAAAAGCTTTAATTAAAAGCTTAATTTATAGAGAGGGAGACAAGTTGTTTTTTAAGTAAAGGTATTTGAAATAAAATCTTGATGAATCAAAAAGGTATTAATTAGTTAAGGTAAATTTTTTTCAGAGAATTTTTATTGTTTTTTTTTATAATAGAGATAGAGAAATGTTTATAAATTTTATCAATATTGTGGAGAAGATGTTAAACAAATAATTATATTTTTTAGTATTGTTTTATAGATAGTGAAACGTAAAACGTAAATTATAAGAATTTAAAGAAAAAATCTAGGTTTTTTCCTTTAATTTTTTTTAAATAAATTTCAAGTGCGAAAATAATTACAAGAGTTTATTTGTCATTAATTAAATAAATAACTTGATATGTTTGAATTTATAAAAAAAAAAGTGAAGAAATTGTTAAAATAGATAAAGTAAAAGTTTACGCAATTTACACCGTTTCCTTCAAAAAATTTTAATAAATAATAAAGCAATTAATCATCATTAATCTACTTAATTTTATAAAATTTTAATTTAATTCTATATTAATTACTCTGTCAACTGTCGAACCAACATTTCAACAAACTTTAATTTTTTATTAACTTCCAAAAGTTAAACCCCAAAAAACCATTAAGAAAAAAGTGCTAAAATCTAAAAAATTTTCGTTAAAATAAAAATATTTTAATTTCTTCATAAAAATTTAAAAGTGCAAGTTTCTCTTATAATTAACGTTTAAATTTAATTATAAGTTAATAACAGCATTTATGTTTTAATATTTAGTCGTTATAAAAAAAATACCATAAAAATGCAAAAAATACCGAATAAAACATTCAGTCACGTCCAATTTTATGTCAAAAAGTCATAAATACTATTATTAAAATATTTTTTTTTGAAAATTGTGTTTATTTTTTATAAAAAAATTAAAAAATTGTTAAACAATTTGTCATTAAGTTAATAATTGATAGACATTTGGCAGCAAACAAAAAACTTGTCTGTAAATGCTATAAATTTAAAGCTTAAAGTTTTGTCAAATATATTTAAAAGTGATTAAAATGTTTAAACATATATTAAGCTCTAATACTGTCCTTTTAATGACCTAGAGAAGCAACTATAGTCCAGACATTAGATCAGTCTATAGTCCAGACTATAGAGCATTCTATAGTCCAGACTATAGATCATTCTATAGTCCAGACTGTAGATCATTCTATATTCCAGACTGTAGATCATTCTATAGTCCAGACTGTAGATCATTCTATAGTCCAGACTGTAGATCATTCTATAGTCCAGATTATAGATCATTCTATAGCCCAGACTATAGATCATTCTATAGTCCAAACTATATACCATTTTATAGTCCAGATTATAAATCATTCTGTAGTCCAGACTATAGATCATTTCATAGTCCAGACTAAAGATCATTCTATAGTCCAGACTATAGATCATTCTATAGTCCAGAATATAGATCAATCTATAGTCCATACTATAGATCATTCTATAGTCCAGACTATAGATCATTCTATAGCCAAAACTATAGATCATTCTATAGTCCAGACAATAGATCATTATATAGTCCAGACTATAGATCATTATATATCATTCTATAGTCCAGACTATAGATCATAATATAGTTCAGATTATATATAATTCTATTGTCGAAACAAATGAACAGTCTATAGTCCAGACCATAGACCAGTTTATAGTCAGGACTATAGATCAGTCAAGACTATCGATTAGCACTCTATAGTCTAGACTAGAGTTCAGTCTAGAGCACATATTATAGATTAGACTAATGATCAGTCAATAGTCAAGACTATAGATCAGTCTATAGTACAGACTATAGATTACTCTATAGTCCATAATATAGCTTATCGATCAGTCTATAGTTTGGACTATCTAACTTATTTAGTCTAACTTATTTAGTCTATATAGTCTAGTAATCTATATGTATTTAGACTATTGATCAATCTACAGTTTAGGCTATAGATCAGGGTATAGTCTAAATCATATAGAGCAGTCTATAGCCAAAAGTCTACTCTACAGATCAGTTTATAGTATAGTTTGTCACTCAGTCTATATTGTAGCCTATAAATCTATAGTCTAGCTTATTGATCATAGTCTGCACTATAGATTAGTATAAAGTCTAGCCTATAGACTAATCTATAGTGTTGACTATATAGTCTCCACTATAGATCAGTCTATAACCTATACTAAACATAGATCAACCTGTAGTCTAGCTTATACATCATTCTATAGTCTAGCCTATATGTCAATCTTTAGTTTTGGCTACAGATCAGTCTATAGTTTAGTCTGCAGTCTAACCTATAGTTCAGTTTATTTTCTACACTAAAGATCAGTCTATAGTCTATTTTACTGATCATAGTTTATGCCATAGATCAGTATAGACTACTCTATTGATCTGTCTATAGTCTACGCTATAGATCAGTCTATAATCTCAGTCTATAATAGATCAGGCTATAATCTACAATATAAATTAGTTTACAGTCTAGCTTTTAGATCAGTCTATAGTTTAGACTGTAGATCAGTCTATGGTCTTGCCTATAGTCTAGCCTATAGATCAGTCTATAGTTTAACATATAGATCAATATATATATTATCGACCCTATAGATCAGTCTGTCTGTAGTCTATATTATAGATCACTCTATGTTTTAGACTATTGATCAGTTTTGACTATAGCTCACACTACATATCAGTCTTTAGTCTAGATCATAGATCTGTCTATAGTCGAGACTAGGCTACAAAGTGCGGTCTTTCTGAACAAAACTTGTAGATCAAACTACAAACCGGACTATACTCTAGTCTATATGACTCTTCTCAAGGCATACTTCTTATAACTATCTAACATTATCTGTTCCTCCCTGTTTTTTCCAATCATAAATACCATCATCATCTAATCTATTAAAGATAAAAAAATATAATATCAAAGAAATTGAAACTGACTGGTATTGACATAATCTTTAGAGCAGAAAAAAAAAAAACTGAAAAAGAAAATACTACAAACTTTGATAACAATAATGTTTAAATAAAATTCGCTAAACAATTAATATTTTCCATTTTATACTATTTTAATTTCTGTTAACGTATATTTTAAATAAATATTAGCCATATACTTATACTTTATTGCCTTGATTTTTAAGATAAGATTTTTTTCTATATATATCTCTACGTAAACGGGCAAAATTTCTTAATCAGTTCGGTTTTTTTTCTCTCTTTCTCTATTTACAGTTAAACTAGAAAATTTAAAACAGAGTTCTAGCAGTTGTACGTAATTAATTGAAGAATCAGCAGAATAAAAACCCACGGCTAAATTCTTGAAAAAAAAAAAAATTGCACCATATTTTGAAAAGTCATCTATAGTTTCAGAAAATCGCCATGAAGTTCGTTTAAATGTGTGCAAATTTTGAGAACGACTCAGTAATTGGAAAAACAAGAAGATTTACGGCAACTTTTTTACATTTAAGGAGATTCTGTTGTATATTTTGAATTATAACTGGGGAGCGAGTTTCCTCGTTAACCATCAGCATGAGTAAATCGGGATTTTCAAACGCTCAATCGTTGGTTGGGACGTAAAAATAAGGGTGAGTACTTGAAATACTAGACTAGACTGCGGACTATGCTAGACTATAATACAGATGAGACTATAGACTAAACTATAGACTACGCCATAGAAAGGACTATAAACTAGAGTAAAGACTAGACTACATGCTAGACTATACCATAGATCAGATTATACAGAGATTATACAGATTATAGTTCAGACTATAGTCCAACTATAAACTAGAGTACAGGCTAGACTATAGACCTAGACTGTCGACTGGACTATAGACTAGACTATGGACTAGACTATAGAGTAGACTATAGACTAGACTATGGACTAGACTATAGACTAGACTATAGACTAGACTATAGACTAGACTATAGACTAGAACTATAGACTAGACTATAGACTAGACTATAGACTAAGACTATAGACTAGACTATAGACTAGACTCATAGACTAGACATAGACTAGACTATAGACTAGACTATAGACTAGACTATAGACTAGACTATAGACTAGACTATAGACTAGACTATAGACTAACTATAGACCTAGACTATAGACTAGACTATAGACTAGACTATAGACTAGACTATAGACTAGACTATAGACCTAGACTATAGACTAGACTATAGACTAGACTATAGACTAGACATAACTAGACATAGACAGACTATAGACTAAGACTATAGACTAGACTATAGACTAGACTATAGAACTAGACTATAGACTAGACTATAGACTAGACTATAGACAAGACTATAGACTAGACTATAGACTAGACTATAGACTAGACTATAGACTAGACTATAGACTAGACTATAGACTAGACTATAGACTAGACTATAGACTAGACTATAGACTAGACTATAGACTAGACTATAGACTAGACTATAGACTAGACTATAGACTAGACTAGACTAGACTATAGACTAGACTATAGATAGACTATAGACTAGACTATAGACTAGACTAGACTATAGACTAGACTATAGACTAGACTATAGACTAGACTATAGACTAGACTATAGACTAGACTATAGACTAGACTATAGACTAGACTATAGACTAGACTATAGACTAGACTATAGACTAGACTATAGACTAGACTATAGACTAGACTATAGACTAGACTATAGACTAGACTATAGACTAGACTATAGACTAGACTATAGACTAGACTATAGACTAGACTATAGACTAGACTATAGACTAGACTATAGACTAGACTATAGACGACTATAGACTAGACTATAGACTAGACTATAGACTAGACTATAGACTAGACTATAGACTAGACTATAGACTAGACTATAGACTAGACTATAGACTAGACTATAGACTAGACTATAGACTAGACTATAGACTAGACTATAGACTAGACTATAGACTAGACTATAGACTAGACTATAGATTAGACTATAGACTAGACTGTAGACTAGACTATAGACTAGACTATAGACTATAGACTAGACTATAGACTAGACTATAGACTAGACTATAGACTAGACTATAGACTAGACTATAGAGACTATAGACTAGACTATAGACTAGACTATAGACTAGACTATAGACTAGACTATAGACTAGACTATAGACTAGACTATAGACTAGACTATAGACTAGACTATAGACTAGACTATAGACTAGACTATAGACTAGACTATAGACTAGACTATAGACTAGACTATAGACTAGACTATAGACTAGACTATAGACTAGACTATAGACTAGGACTATAGGACTGACTATAGACGATAGGACTAGAGACTAGACTATAGACTAGACTATAGCTAGACCTATAGACTAGATATAGACTATAGACTAGACTATAGACTAGACTATAGGACTAGACTATAGACTAGACTATAGACTAGACTATAGAATTAGACTATAGACTAGAACTATTAGACTAGACTATAGAGCTAGCACTATAAGGACTATAGACTAGGACTATGACTAGACTATAGACTAGACTATAGGACTAGACTATAGACTAGACTATAGAACTAGACTATAGACTAGGACTATTATGACTAGGACTATAGACTAGACTATAGCCTAGGACTATAGACTAGACTATAGACTAGACTATAGACTAGACTATAGACTCGACTATAGAACTAAGACTATAGACTAGACTATATACAGACATAGACTATACTAGCCTAGACTATAGACTAGACTATAGAACTAGACTATAGACTAGACATAGGACTATACTAGACTAGACTATAGACTAGACTATAGACTAGACTATGGACTAGACTAGACTATAGACTAGACTATAGACTAGACTATAGACTAGACTATAGACTAGACTATAGACTAGACTATAGACTAGACTATAGACTAGACTATAGACTAGACTATAGACTAGACTATAGACTAGACTATAGACTAGACTATAGACTAGACTATAGACTAGACTATAGACTAGACTATAGACTAGACTATAGACTAGACTATAGACTAGACTATAGACTAGACTATAGACTAGACTATAGACTAGACTATAGACTAGACTATAGACTAGACTATAGACTAGACTATAGACTAGACTATAGACTAGACTATAGACTAGACTATAGACTAGACTATAGACTAGACTATAGATTAGACTATAGACTAGACTGTAGACTAGACTATAGACTAGACTATAGACTATAGACTAGACTATAGACTAGACTATAGACTAGACTATAGACTAGACTATAGACTAGACTATAGACTAGACTATAGACTAGACTATAGACTAGACTATAGACTAGACTATAGACTAGACCATAGACTAGACTATAGACTAGACTATAGACTAGACTATAGACTAGACTAGACTAGACTATAGACTAGACTATAGACTAGACTATAGACTAGACTATAGACTAGACTATAGACTAGACTATAGACTAGACTATAGACTAGACTATAGACTAGACTATAGACTAGACTATAGACTAGACTATAGACTAGACTATAGACTAGACTATAGACTAGACTATAGACTAGACTATAGACTAGACTATAGACTAGACTATAGACTAGACTATAGACTAGACTATAGACTAGACTATAGACTAGACTATAGATTAGACTATAGACTAGACTGTAGACTAGACTATAGACTAGACTATAGACTATAGACTAGACTATAGACTAGACTATAGACTAGACTATAGACTAGACTAGACTATAGACTAGACTATAGACTAGACTATAGACTAGACTATAGACTAGACTATAGACTAGACTATAGACTAGACTATAGACTAGACTATAGACTAGACTATAGACTAGACTATAGACTAGACTATAGACTAGACTATAGACTAGACTATAGACTAGACTATAGACTAGACTATAGACTAGACTATAGACTAGACTATAGACTAGACTATAGACTATATAGACTATACTATAGACTATACTATAGACTAGACTATGGACTAGACTATAGACTAGACTATAGACTAGACTATAGACTAGACTATAGACTAGACTATAGACTAGACTATAGACTACACTATAGACTAGACTATAGACTAGACTATAGACTAGACTATAGACTAGACTATAGACTAGACTATAGTCTAGACTATAGACTAGACTATAGACTAGACTATAGACTAGACTATAGACTAGACTATAGTCTAGACTATAGACTAGACTATAGACTAGACTGTAGACTAGACTGTAGACTAGACTATAGAGTAGACTATAGACTAGACTATAGACTAGACTATAGACTAGACTATAGACTAGACTATAGACTAGACTATAGACTAGACTGTAGACTAGACTATAGACTATACTATAGACTAGACAATAGACTAGACTATAGACTAGACTATAGACTAGACTATAGACTAGACTATAGACTAGACTATAGACTAAACTATAGACTAAACTATAGACTAAACTATAGACTAGACTATAGACTAGACTATAGACTAGACTATAGACTAGACTATAGACTAGAATATAGACTAGAATATAGACTAGACTATAGACTAGACTATAGACTAGAATATAGACTAGACTATAGACTAGACTAAAATATACTATAGACTAGACTATAGACTAGACTATAGACTAGACTATAGACTAGACTATAGACTAGACTATAGACTAGACTATAGACTAGACTATAGACTAGACTATAGACTAGACTATAGACTAGACTATAGACTAGACTATAGACTAGACTATAGACTAGACTATAGACTAGACTATAGACTAGACTATAGACTAGACTATAGACTAGACTATAGACTAGACTATAGACTAGACTATAGACTAGACTATAGACTAGACTATAGACTAGACTATAGACTAGACTATAGACTAGACTATAGACTAGACTATAGACTAGACTATAGACTAGACTATAGACTAGACTATAGACTAGACTATAGACTAGACTATAGACTAGACTATAGACTAGACTATAGACTAGACTATAGACTAGACTATAGACTAGACTATAGACTAGACTATAGACTAGACTATAGTCTAGACTATAGACTAGACTATAGACTAGACTATAGACTAGACTATATACTAGACTATAGACTAGACTATAGACTAGACTATAGACTAGACTATAGTCTGGACTATAACCTAATCTATAGTCTGTACAAAAGTCTAGTCTATTCTAAACTATAGTCCAGTTAATGGGTAAAAAACGAATCTATAATGCGGATTAAGGTCCAGACTGGGAACCATTATAATGCCTAGTTACTCATTCTGTTCTTTCTTTTTAATACAGATAAAACCATGGGCAATGGTAAATTATCCAAATCCAGCACAAATCTATCAATATCCACCACCAACATCAATGAAACTAGTCAACTGGAATATAATCGTATAACACCGCTGCCAGCAGCCACCACAAATGCACCGTTCGAGCAAACCTTTCGTATAACCGTACTACTGCCCAAAGATCAGCTATATGTAACGCGTCTGGGAGCCAGAGTGCCACTGAGTAAACTATTGGAATTGGTGTGCGATAATAAGTTATTAGATGCGGAGAAATATGAGTTTCGTAATCCGGGTAAGTATTCTGGAGAATGTATAGTTTTGAAGTGGAAAGATTAAAGTGTTTTTTCTCTTTTGATTCAGTTGATCCTAGTCAAGTCTACAGTTGCGATTTAACCATTGGTGCTGTGGGCCTTTCCGAGATACGTTTATGTCACAAAACCGAGTCATATGATAATTTCAATAGCGATGAAATCATCAAACTGCATCGTACTTCTTTGATTAGGGAATCTTTATCTTCGTCCGAATTTAGCAGTCGCAATTCGAAACACACCACAAAAACCACTAGTCCTTATAGTTCAACAAATTCTTTGAATTCTATGGATTCTTCGGCTTTAAGTTATGGCCGTACGCCCAAATTACCTTCGAGCACACAACCAAAAATGTCGGCACCACCACGCAAGAAACGCGCAGCTCCTAGACCACCAAGTCAAATAGCCATACCCGAGAAATCGGCTTTAATTATGGAGAATGGTGAGAGTAAACAGACGCCTACACCGACCACACCTTTGTCAACCAAAGACTTTTCGGTTTCCACCCCGAATTTAACCACCTCCACCATGCTGATGAGCGATATCAATGGCAATGATTGTAATGGCCATTTGGAGGATTACAACGAGCAGAGCAGTGGTAATGGTTCTTTAAATTCCAATGGTTATGCTGAGGATACGGTATTGTATGCTCAGATCCAAAAGAAAAATGCTTTAAATCGTAATAGCCAAAGTAAACAGGATGTTAGTGATTTCGGCGAGGGAAATAGTAAATTTCCCGAACCTTCTCCTAGGAAAAGAATAGTGCAGATTAAAAAGAAGACAGCAGCGCCTCCAGCACCACCACCACGTAGCTCTTTGTATCAGGAGGATGCGATTTCTATAGCTTCTACTAATGTTTCCAATACCTCCACACCCACCACACCGGTGGGTTTGTGTAAGTCCCTGGATAGTTTCTTAGATCAAGAAGAGGAGCAAGAGCAAAAACCCAAACCTTTAGAGCGTGGTGAGTCGGTGAATAGTGACAACATTCCCAAACCGGTGCCCAGAATAACCACCAGCACTACTCTCTTAAATGCCACGGATATTGAACACGATCTAAAGAGTTTCGAAAGCGATTGTGAGGTAAAATCAAAGCCTAACATCTCTAAGGTTTTACTCAACCGTACACCCACCCCGGAGCCCAGATCTTTATCCTGTGAGTCACCCGAATTGGAGCATTGCTATGAAACCCATTTGGAACATTTCAAACAACAGAGAACCGATGATGATTGTGTCTCGAAACAGGCTGATTCAGGCATAGGAGAACCGGTGCCCTCTCCCATACCAGATATCTTACCCTCCAATGTCTCTACTTTGGATGTTAAATCCAATTTTGAGTCTTCCTCCGATGATGATGATATGGTCAAAGTTTATAACTTCAAATTGGGTAAGACCTTGGTAAAACCGGTAAGTGAAACTAAGACATTGGAAGAATTGACCGTCATGAATAATGCCGCCGAAGAGGAGACAGATAGCGAGCTAGGGACCCTTGACATTGACCCAAGTGCCCACACCTAATACTTTATCGGAAACCTCCTCCTGGAACTTTGCGGCACCTATATCACCACCACCCAATTTTGCGGATAATAAATTTACAGATCCCATAGAAATGGACTCCAAACCGGATGCCCCTATAACCCCCAAGATATTGGAAAGACCGGTTTTAGATTTCGAAGAATTGAAAAGAGAACAAGAGCAACAGGATTTAAAGGAAATCAAGGAAATTAAAGAAGAAACACACTTAAAA